TATGTATGTGGTGAAAAAAGACTGGCAGGAAAAGTAGGTAATTGCCTTGAGTCTAAATGAGTCTCTTTGTGTGAAGAACAATGTGATGTCCCACTGTGTTTTGAGGGTCACTAGGCAACAAACCCCACCGTGTGGTCTTTTTTCGGACTCTGTCTTCCTCTTGTAACTGCAGCAGGTACCTCTTAACGAGCACACTCCAATACACATTATAGCCTCGTATGTCATTTGGGTCGGCATTACAACAAAGTCAATTTGTTGCTTGACTGGGATTCAAATCCAGCGTGAGGTTAAGAGTTGTTAGGAAACAAACTTTGACTGTTTCTACCGAGGCGATTTCCTTTGACCAAGAGGCCGTAAAAGTTGAAGTTTGGTATGTAAAGTAGTAGGAAATTCTGTGATTTATCATTTTCCCATGCAGACTAGTTAAACAATGACATCACTCACACTTAGAGTGACACACTCAAACGACCTTTGCCACAACCCTGACATCATTTCAGAGAGATGGAGACGATTGAAAAAAGGTGATGTCAGAGGTCACTTTCCCTCACTGGTTTGTACTTTTAAGAAGCAAAAAAGAAAAAGTCCTTTTTTTAGAAAAAAGGGAGACTTGTCCTTTGTCTCCTGCCATTGATTCATCCAGTGTGAAAAAGCACAACCGTGTTAAATCAGTGTTGAAGTCGGGGGGAGGACCCCAGCGGCAGTGTGTCTTTTTCCCCACTGCAAACCTAAAGGAGAGCCATTGTCCCCGTTGTGTCCCCAACACCCACACTATTCATGGTGCATACTGGAGCAGGGAAAGGTATGTGACGATGAAGTTAAAGACATGCAATGTCTGTCGACTAACCTTCACTTTCTGTCTCCTGATAATAAAAAATGCATCTCCCTTTTCAATCACATTATGTCAATTGTGGGTTTCAGGAACAATTCAAACAACCCCCAAGTGTATTTACTAACCAATAATGAATGAAAGTGAAATCTGAATACACAATATGGGTGTAGACTTTGGCACTGATTAAAGTCTGCCTCTTTCATGTGTTTGACTGTAGCTACTGACCTGACTGTAAGTGAGTCTTATCAGCCACATGGTGTACAGACTCAGTTGTAACAAGATGCTTCTTTGTACCGGTGAGACGCTCTGTTAGTTCCTCAAAAGGAACAACAGGACTTCTCCATTAAAACCGCAACTGAACAGAGCTTCCTGTCCATTGAAGGGGGGGGGGTATAAGTCTCTGCAATCCAAAGATAACACTCAAACTTGACCCCTGGGACTCTTAGAGGTGAGAAACAAGTCAGAGAGAATAAACAACCTAGGAAAAGTTACTTCCGTGTTTACATTTTCATTTCACCTCATCCTGCACCTCTCACTTACAGCTTGATTTAGGCAGAGATTTTGTGGTGTTTATCTAATTTATAATGATTTGAAATGCCACGCGCTCCCTTAAAAACCCTCAAAGATTAGGTTGTTTTGCTTCACCTACTTTGCCGGTGTAAGCAAGAAAATCTGATAAGCAGTGATTTCATTATAAGGTGCTGGAGTAGCATCAATATGCGTGTTGAGTGCTAATTCTGTCCTTTTCCATCCGAGTGGCTGTGGCGGATATTTCTGCAGGGCAGCTAATTCAACTGAGGCAAATCCATCGCCTGACAATGATCATATCAACTTTATTGTAGTCTTTTTTTTCCCACAGCCATGCAAATTGAATCTGACACTTCCTAATGGCGCGACACTAAGGGAGTGCACATAGTGTCTTTGAGTCTGTGCCCAACGCCCCCGCCGCCTCCATCTCTCTCTTTTAGTGTGGTCTCACAAAACTGTGCTGGATCAGGATCACATCTGAACGTACGAGTCACTTTAAAAAAGAGAAACCCTCAGCACAAAAGGCACTTGTTTCTTAGTTGAAATCGTAACATATCTGCATGTGGGCGCGCGTGATAGCGACGTAGGCTTGCAGCACAGGAGATCCTTGCGGTAAATAATACTGACAGCAGCCACCAACAATCACCACACAGAAGAGCACCAGAGAAGAAGGACTGTGAGATTAAATCAAAGAGAAATGTGTACACATTGTTTGTATTATCGAGTGGCGTGAAACAGACAGACACTTGTGTTAGTGTGTTTTCTGGCTGTGAAACTTCTAAAAGAACAGTTTTGTCCTTTGAACAGTTCAAATCTGTGAAGTTGAGTCATATGAAGAGTCTGATTGACAGTCTGTCTCGTATTAATGTGAACACTTAAAGGTTGTAATTGATGTCCTTTGTGCTACCTGTCCATCCAAAACAATCACATCGCAGCTGGACGAAAAATAATATTGCTGCCACTTATGTGTTAGAGATGGTTGCAATATATGACAGCTCAAAGTAGCTGATATCTATAAAAAAGAAACGATCTAGTACAACCCTTATCATACTGCCAGTAAGTGCAAATAACAAAGGAAGAAGAACAATTATCCGACGATGTTTTTTTTAGGTTAGCGCAAATCTTTTGAATACACTCTTGATAGTTTAAAGGTTTTACTTACATGATGCAGCGCACGTGAGTTTGATCGATGTCAGCTGTGAGGAGGCATGGTAGGACTTTCGAGTTGTGGACATTTCTCCTGTGTAACTGGTAAGTGTTGCCTTCACACGACAAATCCTCCTGAACTCATAAGGTTCAAACCAAAGCCTCTCATCTTTATTTATCAGGAGAAAGAAACGGGAGACCAGCTCTGTCGCTTCCTCTTCATTGTCTGCTCGCTCCCCAGGACCAGGGTCACAGTCCACATGCGCTCTCTGCAAGGTCCGATCAAACTCTCCACTGCGCGGTAAACATGCCACAGTGTCGTGTGAGTGTGTGTGTGTGTGTGTGTGTGTGTGTGTGTGCGTGCGTGTTGCGTGTGTGTGTGTGTGTGTGTGTGTGGTGGGCTGCGTGTGTGTGTGTGTGGCTGCTGTGTGTGTTGTGTGTGTGTGTGTGTGTGTGTGTGTGCGTGTGCGTGTGCGTGTGCGTGTGTGTGTGTGTAGTGTGTGTGTGTCAAGGCGAAATTACGCCCTCTTTCCGCAACGCGTGACGTCGCTCTGGCTGCGCGCTCGGCACTTTGGTTTATGAACAGCAGGCTGCAGCACACACAAGTGCCAACAGATTTATTATCAAGGCTCCTTAAAACAGCAATATGACACGCAGTTATCCAAGAAGTACTCACATACTTTACTTAAGTTGAAGTAGAAATACCAACTGTAAAAAAAAAAAGTCTTAACAAGTTCAAAATCATACAAAAGTAGTCAAAATATGCTTAAAGTACCAAAAGCAAAAGTATTAGTTAAGTAATGGCCCTTTACAGAAACATGTTTATGTATACACTGGATTATGCATTATGCATGTGTCCCTCCCAACTGGTAAGAGCGGAGCTCATTTGAATTCATTTGTAAAAGGAAAATCCCTATTTCAATTGTTGTAGTATGAGTGTGTCTGTCATTCAATAAAAACATTAATCAAAAACGTAAATACATTATATAACAATGCTGGTTATCTTTAACAATAAAAACATAGTTTATTCATTTGTTTTGTATCTTATAATCTGAATAGTTAAAGTCACTAGTAATTAAATCTGTCAAATCAAACCAAAATTTGAATGTATTTACATAGCACTTTTCAAGCAAAAAAATGACTCGTTGCACATAATGAAAAGGAATAGAATAAGAATAAAATGTCAGATAAATGCAAAGAATATTATTGGCTTCCAAAAGTGGAGTAGAATGAAATAGCATAACATTTAAATATGTATTTAAAGTACAAGTACCAGAACATTGTATACTTAAGTATTCAGTAATTTAGCACTGAACACATGTTTTACAGCCAGGTTACACACATTTCAAATAATGTTCATATGCCTTACTTGCTGTTTCCTCCCTGTCTCGTCTGCTCAGTGGCTTCCAGACCAGATTAACTCCCTGCATGCCTGAGCTGGACACCCGTTACCCTGGAGACCGTGGGGATCCCGTCCTGAGATGATTTATAAGCAGACAAAGAGACAAAAATGTAGCATTAGTATTCATGGATGGGAGCTATGGGAGACACATTTTTAAACTTAAAATGCCAGCTGACAACTTTTAAATGTTTGCTGCAATATTATAGGCCTTATAATAATAATAATCATATTGCTGTTAAAACCATTTTTGTAATGTAAAGCGTTGCAGATCTACCCTAACATTTGAGGACACGAAATGGGATTATTTTAATTTTCATTAGAAGTGGCCATGACCTTGGTTTTTAACACAATCAAACTGTAAAGCATTAATTAAGATGCTGATCATGTAAGAAGGGGGTTACATACATAATGAAAAAATATAGCCTTTTTAAGTAAATAATACAAGTTATGTCTGGAACAATATAGGATTTTAGCACAGATCAAGATACAAAGAAAACCTCACAATATGTTGATGGTGGGGAATTTCCATTATCCTGATTATACTCACAAGAGTTACTTGTGAACGTTGTCAAGCTCACTATCATGTTAGAGGTAAAAAAAAAACGTTTGGATTCAACTTCAAGTGTTTTTAAAACTATTTATTTATGGGTCTCCAAAACTACCCTGTTACAAAAAATAACATATCATATTTATTTATTTAGTTGATTATAATACGTTATAGTTAGTTTAGTAACTAAGTAATTAGTAATTTGATTGTTTCTAGGTAGATCTTTATATAGGAACAATAAGACAATTACGTTTTGTCTCTATTTAGCAAATCCACTGGCAGGAATAAGGTATTTTGCTCACATGACACGGTATACCATATACATGTATTACTATTATTATACATGAATACAACATTCATTTTCTTTGAAGGCGTCCCTTCAGCCAAACAACAACACAGACATGATGACTTTCTAATTTCGTATAAGAAATACACAATATAAAGCCAGCTAATTAGAAGTTTTATTTTGAAGTGAAACTTTGCAGCAACCTGAGGATGGCGAGCGACACCGCGTGCACGCGCAGTTCAGAATGTGCCGTGCACGCGCTCCCCGTCCAACGGGAGTTGAAAAAATGGTGGCCAGCGCTCGAGTTCAGAAGCTGCTCCGACGATACAAACTAGCGATAGCCGCCGCGTTAACTATTCTCCTGGTCCAGGGGCTTGTGGTATGGAGTCTGAGAAGTCTGGAAGAGGGCGAGGCAGAGGTGAGTCCCAGTCTGTCCGGGGATTTCTGACACGACACTGATATGGTTGGATTTGTAATTGTAGCCGTTAGCGCTTAGCCTAGCTTCCCTATGTGTTATGATACAGTAACGATTAGCATGTTCTAGCTAATTTAGCAGTTTAGGGAACAGCGCCGCTCCGAAACATTTCAGTGCAACTGGACCAGCCCTGTGTATCTGTCTTTATGTATTTGTGTATATATGTCTATATGTCTGTTTGTCACCGAGTACCAGACTTATACAGCACTGTTTCCCAGGTTACATGCTCATATCTAAGAAATTAACGGTATTGATAGCAGGGGTTTAAAGTAACTAAGTACATTTTATTCAAGTATTACTTAAGTACTTTATTGACATATTTGTACTTGTATGTAATGCTCCTTTATACTTCTACTACACGCAATTTCATTGGCAATTATTGTACTTTTTACTCCACTCAGTTACTTTGTACTTAAAACACATGATATGCTGATATTAGTATAAAGCAGTACTGTACTACTTATCTACACAGTATTTCAATCATTTGGTCGACTCTACATGAAGAGAATACAACACTAAAATCCTGTTACTTGAACGTATACAAACAGGATACAATAATAACCATAATTCTCCACACTGGTGTTTGCCACTACATTTCATTTTGAGCCACTGTGATGATGGACAGCTTCACTAAACAGACCCACCATTCCTAAACATGGGAGTTTAAAGGAGGTCTATGACGTGATGCAACCTTTTGAGAGCATGTGAGTCCATTATGATTCATTGATCATAAACAGATCATCAACATGAACTGGCTTACATGCGTCATATAGCTCTCCCAAGATACTCAGCATATGTTTTACTGTTTGTTTATTTTACACCAGAGGCCTTTCTCTTGGGGGGCTGCCCTGCCTATTTAAAATGTACTAAGCTTTGAATCATACTAGGGCTGCTCGATTATGGCAAAAATCATAATCTCGATTATTTGGGTCAATAATTGATATCAAGATTATTAAAAACGATTATCCATTTACTTTGAAAACATCCATTTATTGGAGAAAAAAAATGTTGAACAGTATGTTTTTAACAGTTGATTACCCTGAACTTTAAGTATAATTCAACTGAAAAACCAATAAAAAAAGATTAATAAAAAAAAAAAATCGTCTTATTTCGATTACGTTGTTTTCGTAATCGTTGCAAGCCATAATCGTAATTGCGATTTAAAATACGATTAATTGAGCAGCCCTAAGTCATACCCAGATACTAAAAGTAGGGGAATATCCTAGGGATAAATTCTACAGTTGAGCAAAGAGTTGCCTTTACTTCTTACTGAAATCATGAAACCTGTCCACAGTGTGAAGCTTATCTCTGGGTCTCCCGTGCACACCTGGACTTACTACCCCGAGGCAGTACCTGTTCCCTTTCCCCCCTCCAAATGAGGTAAAATCAGTTTCTTAACAGATGTGTGACCCGGGGAGGAACTGTGCGCGTACAGGAGTAATGTTTTGAGGCACTCTGGTCCTGATAGAGTCACAGGAATGCAAGCTGAGTTGGAAAATATGCCGTCTCCCTATCATGATATAAAAAGCGGCGATGTGTATAATGTTCCTCCCGACGTATATAGATTTCAGATCTGTGCCTGGAGGGAAGAGAAGGAAGCAGATGTTAATGCGGTGGCTACACTGGAGGAAGAAGTTTGACCCAGAGAGGGGAAAGAGGAATCGGTAGTGACAATGATGTCGACCGACTCACTTAACTGTGAGCTAAACCCTTAACATAAAGCTTATTCTCAGTAAATGACTCATGCAACCTTGGTGAAGTAATCCATTTCCGCTTGGACGCACTTCAACGTCACATTGTGGCGGAACGGGAAGTTTGACATGTTATTCATCTTATTGGAGACCAATGTTTCTTATGATTTGAAATCCCCCGTTTGCATTATCCGCCTCCAGGCAAGTCATCTGGTGCACACTAGCTGAAACATGCTCGAGCAGAGAGAGAGAGAGAGAGAGAGAGAGATATCTGTAGCTCACCTGTAAAGGTGCTGACATATGAACTTTCTAATCCTCAACACATAGTATTTGCTTTCCAACGCTTCAGGTCAAAGAAAAAACCTGCACTGATTGTTGATTTTATTATTAATTCGACTTTCAATTTAGCTTCGTTTGAATCATTTCAAGTTGTAAATGGGTCTCATTCATTCCTAATGTGAACGCTGTGACACTGATGCTCAGCGTACATGTCAGCCTGACATGCAGCTATGTTGGCAGACATCTATGCAAATGTCAGCACATTCTGTGTTTGCAGGATCACATTTCAGACTTGAAGAATGCATATTAATCATCATTTCATCGCCCAACAGTGCATGTTCAGTCAGGGAGGCTTTCCAATGTGGGTAACATGAGCGAGACTCCGTGGTTTCCTCCATGCTCTTTGATCTCTGCGTTTACTCGCATCTGCTCTAATCAGCGGCTCGCTGTGCACGTGTGAACACAGCCGCGTGCCTTCATATTTAAAGCCCTCGTACCGAAGGGGGAAAAGATTGTGAGGACAGAAGAAGACGAGGCTGTCATCTTTGTGTCACCCTCTGCTTGGATGTGCCATCCTGCAGAGCTGAGCCCGCGCTGCTGCTTCCTGCTTCAGCAGATGGCGGCGCTGATATGGTTTCACTCCACTTTAATTGGAAAGTAAAGAAGCGGCCTGGCTTGCCTTTGAATCAATCGTTTTTTTGTTGAGATGGTGGTTAATTAAAAGCTGTGAAAACGAGTGATAAGGGAAATTGAAACATTAGCCCCCGCCGCATGCAACGTCTTCTGTGCGAGAACATTTAGTGCAGCCTAAAAGTGTCTTGACAATTTAAGCTAGCATAAGGCATTGAAGATGTTTTCATTAATTGAGCAGCTATGAGCCGCCATAGAAAGAAGACATCTCACCACTGCTGGAGGAAATGTGAAATAGTCTTCAGGATTTTGAGAACAAAAGTTTTTATCATAATGATTGGGTTTCTTTGACAGGAATCCGAATTGTCTCATAAAGGAAACTCAAGCTCTTTTCAGGTGACGTTAAGAACATCAGATTCCTGCCGAAAGCTTACGATAACCAGGTTACTCAAGTGCATGTAAACTCACTGAAAGAGGCTTGCACCGCAATGACTGGTATGCACCTGGGCTCCACAATGCCTCTCACTGTAATGGGTTTGAGAGTGCGCTGTGTTGGTTGGCAGCTGGTTTATTGCCACTATTTAATCTGGCTCCCTATCCCACCACGCAGCACTGGTGCCCCTCCTGTTCCCACCGTCTACGGGCTGTCGCCATGCCAGCGGCGTGAAGCGGACTCGCCTGCGTTCTGCTATATCGTCTGACAGAGGCAGAAAGCTCTCAGCCCACTCACTTTCTTTTTCCCTTTTCTCCAAGTGCTCATTTTGAAGGGCCTTTTGTGTGATCCAGTAATCTACTGTGCCAAGGCTGTGATGCTGTTTGGCTAGCAGATTTTTAAAAAAAAAGGCTTAAGCACTGCGTTTCTTTTTAAATCCTGCCTTCCATTTCTGTAGGTGTGATATGAGCTCCTCCAGTAACACGGATTCTCTGTACTCTTGTATTCAAATTGTATGATACTCTTAGACATGGAAACTTTGGTACTTAAGAAACCAAGGTTAATGGTGGTGGTGCATCTGACACCGTGTCCTCTCGTCATCAACCTGCCGCTAAACTGAAATGTTTATAAAAGGTACATTTTCTAACTTTTATTTATATTGACTTCAATTTTCTAAAGAAGGAAACTATTACATAAAACATCCTTGCTTATTTTCACTGAACCATAACTATGACAAACGCTTTCTCGACTTAAAGTCTCCTTCGGGGATGTTACAGCCAAGAAATCCAGTTATTTGACACCTGACACACACACACACACACACACACACACACACACACACACACACACACACACACACACACACACACACACACACACACACACACACACACACACACACACACACACTCTCACAGAAAAAGGCAGAGGCTCAGCTAAAAATAACCCAGATCAGAGAAATGAAGTAAACACATCCTTCCCTCCAGGGCTGTTGTTGTGTTATTGGTTTACCTTACTTCCTCCCTGGATGTGAATTGAAGCCTCCTCCCAGTAGTGTTTGTCCTAGATGTTATTAAAGCAATACATCTGGATTTGAAATGCATTTTTATTTTTCTTCTCCTCTTTCTTCAGAAAAAAACACGGCGGTCTAAGCTGCCTGACCACAACAGCCAGGACCCCAAGAGAGACCCGGCTCTTTGGGAGAAGCAGAACTCTTTGTCGGGGCGGGACCGGGGCCGATGGAGCGGTCGGTCGGAGAGGACGGGGGGCACGGCCGCCAGCGCACTGAGGAGGGGAACCAACCGCAGAGGAGAGAAGCCCAGCGTCAGGGTGAAGGCTCATCAGAACCGGGGGGTAACGGGACCCGGGTTAGAACACGCCGTCGTCCATGACCCGTCCAGCAGCCGTAACTTCAGCGAGACCAGAGGAGGCGCAGACGGGATGGCGAAGGTTCCGGCCGCCGCCATGCTCGGGGAGCCGGGCAGCGTGGACGGGGCGCACCAGCCCAGCAGCGACTTTGTGCCCAAATGTCACATCACGGGCAAGGACGCGCTGTCCGCCCTGCATCGCGCCGGGTCGCAGCAGTGCCGGCAGGAGATCGCCAACATCGTGTGTCAGCATCACGCCGGGGAGCTCATGCCAGGCGCACTCCCTCAGTTCTGCCCTCAGCTCGGTAAGAACTTCTGAACAGATAACTCTGAGGTCCAGACAGAATACTTGATACATTTTTACCCTCTGAGAAATTTACAATCCAAATAATTCTCAATAGCTAATTTTCTTGTTTCACATTCTCTGAATTCTTTAGTTTGTTTTCCAAATCTTGTTGTTAGAAGCAACCAAGAAACCGTAACGTGTATTTATTTTCTTAATACATTAAATAGGGTATAGGGATCGCATTGAGAACAAAACAATAGACACACACCTCTGGTTTGTTCATGTGTGGGAATCTTTGTTCAAGGAAAAACTATAGGATGGAAACAAGGGCAAAACAAAGCTATACTTTTCACACATTTGCTTTTATTCAACCTCGGTTGAACCGTCTTTCTCAGCTCCTAACATATTATTCTTCAAAGCGCTCCACATCCCACAGTCAGTCCTTTGATGTCTCCACCCTCTTTCCACAGGTATATCTAATCAGGTGCAGTCCGTTGGCGAGCTGGACAACAGCCTGCTGGAAGTGGAGAACCCGGTCAGAGTGGCGTTCGTGCTGATGGTCCACGGCCGCGCTGTACGGCAGCTCAAGCGCCTCATCAAAGCCATATATCACCAAGACCACTTCTACTACATCCATGTGGACAAGGTAAGCCCTAAAAGCCCCTCACAGTGCCACTGCCTTATATCAAATAAGCTTACTGACAAAGCATTATATGTTTTATTATAAAACTTAAAAATAAAAATCAGTATTCAATAGTCCATATTCCCCCCCACAAAAATCACCTTTTATTGAAGTTGAGGATTTTGTTTTGTTTTTTTAAATGTTATTACGTCGTGTTTTATAACAGGCATTCAATGCTCCATTTTGAAAAAGAAATAGAAGCTTGAATAAAAAATGTGGTACAGACCCGCCTGAACAAATGTTGACTAGCTGACAGTATTGTTAATTTATACTGAGACGTCACACTGGAGGGTGTAATTGGGAACCGGCTTGCTTGGAGCGCACTAGACTGAGCTCTCGAAAGCTTTTACCGGCTAGGTCTTCTTGCATTATGAAGGTTAAATATATCCCGTGGGTCTCACAGTGTGGTAAAGGGGATTAGCCCGGATAGAGTAAAGTGTGGTTATTCTTAGCAGAGGAAAGAGTCTGCTATCATGTGCAGCTAGAAGACAGAAGACTAACGGCTGAGTGGTGGTTCTGAGGCTCAGACCTCAGGTGAGTTCAGCGCAGAGAAAGCAGAGACACCTGTCGACAGTGCACCTGTGCAGCCGGAAAGGTTGCTCCTTCCCGGGGTGTTGCTCTGTTCTGCTGCCAAGACGGAGAGAGGCTTACCAGAGGCAGTGATGAATAAGTACGCACCACAGAAACAGCCTTAGACAACCTCACCTCATTTCTCTTAGAGGGAAAGGCCAGCAGAGAGATGAGGCTGTAGAGCAGGGCAGAATGTACTGGAGGCAGTGGACCACACGTGAGGGCTTTGACTTTAGGGCTGTCACGCTGGTGTCTCCTTTATTAACACACCCACAGATTATTGCAGTGACTTTCTGGTCTAATTTAAGAGTGGTCAGCAAGTGTCACTTTTTATTCATCACGGGTCGGAGACAGTGACACATTGTTTGTGCTTCACTGAACAAAACGATCTGACTTCATGTCGCTGAACAAAGTTTATTTTTTTCTTAAATTGCTCATTTATCGCTTCAGGGACTTTTTAAATCGTACTCATTCGGAAAAGTGGCTGCTTGTTAATTACTTTGTACTTAATCAAATTTAGATCTAAAGGGAAATAAAAATATATTCATTAAAGTGAAGTACAGTGCATCCCTTATATCCCTTCACAGAACTAAAGTATGCTTTTAAAAAAGGTTTAATGAGATGATGGAATCAAAGCTGAACTGTCTAACACAAAAAGGCACACATGCTGAAAACCCAACCCCAGCAGGGGGTCTGGGGGGAACCTCCCCCAGGACATTTTTAGAAATACTAACATATAAACTACGCATTCTGGTACACTCTGAGAAGAAAATAAATAAATCTATTACTAGCCGACATATTGATAATATGTTATGCCATTGTTTGTTTTTCACTTTGTTCTGAAGCTGAACTTGCTGCTCCTCACAGAGAGAAGAGCAAAGAGGAGATAGTCTGTGTGAATTACTTTAAATTGTGGGTAAGGGTAGATAGCCCCCATTGTTCTGTGACCTGTCAATCATCAAACCGGGGGTCATATCTCATTACGTGTTCATTTTTATCTGAAGTTGTACCGATGGATGTATAAAGAATAGTTCTACCGCAAAGTTATTCTCCGTGGGGACTTCCGGCAACAATCTTGATTCTGATTGGCCAGAAGACTCGAAAAAACATCAGCAAAGATGTTCTATTGAGAAGATGATCACTACGTGACAGAAGTTTTCAAAACCGTTTATGGTCTCCAGTACTTCCAGTCCAACGCCTACTGCCTGCACAGCGTTAGAAAGTCGTTAGACATTTTTTTCAAAACGGGTCGCGACCCACTTTTGGGTCACGACCCACCAGTTGAGAACCACTGTTCTAGAACATAATTAGCTGATTATCAACATTGAACATAATTGTTAGTTGCAACCCTTATCGGTTTTGTATAAAAAAGTCTAACATTTTACAAATGCAGGGGTTTGGTCCCCATGTGGAGGACCCAGGTTCGAATCCATCTGTCACCCCTTTAATCACTGTCACATTTGGAATGGTTGTCCAATTAAAACATTTTTTTTTAAAAGAAGCAATTTATTAAAAGTTAGTTTTTAAAAGTCCGACACAATGTTTTTAAATGTGTCATCAATCCAAAACACAAGTTCAGTTTTATGTGACATTTAATCCGAGAGAAGCAGGACTCCTTATATTTTAATTGGGTAGAAACTTTTATATTTTGGAAACATTTTTACAAACACTTTAATGATTGATGGAATATGAAAACATTTCTATTAAATTCTGTTGATAAACTTGGAACTGCATAACGCTCGACTTAACTCTTTGACCTTTCTCGTTCCTCCCCTCTTTAAGCTCAGTTCTGTCTAACTTTCAGAAGAAAATATGATACAAAGCTAAACTAACCATCACAATGTTCTCTATCCATCGTCATGGTGTCCCACATCACTGTTCTTCTGCATAGATCAAAGTCTCTTTCAACTGGAGCCAGAATTGTGTGGTGGTCTTGGCACAGCTGAATACCTGCGGGAACAGCATTACACTTGTGCTGCAGAGACACAGTGTTCCCTCATTGTAACTGCTCAACCTGCTTTGAATCCTCCAGCGCTCGGGCTACCTGCATCGGGAGGTGCTGCAGATCGCCCAGCAGTACCCCAACATCCGCACCACGCCCTGGAGGATGGTCACCATCTGGGGAGGGGCCAGCCTCCTGAAGGCCTACCTGCGCAGCATGCAGGACCTGCTCAACATGCTGGACTGGAAGTGGGACTTCTTCATCAATCTGAGCGCTACAGATTTCCCCACCAGGTCAGCAGAGTAACAGCGCCGTGTTAGTGTGGAGGAATGGAGTCGCAGTGTGGAGAGTAGAGTTTCCCAACGGCACATAAGATGATTGCCAGTGTTTAACCACGGATGAATTATGTCCTTAGAGTCAACAACTTAGTTATGTAACTTCCTTAGTCCGCTGCAGAGTCCTCGCGTATCCCTGCAGAGCTTTCTGCTTTGGGAATTGAACCTCAATGTGGTTAAAGATTGGCCCCAACTCCACAAAAATGTCTCCAGTGCAAATACTTGTTTTCTGCATCCTGTCTTGACAATATTTCCAGTTTGTGTTCAGTGAATATCAGAGTTGCCTTTTTCATGGTGGCTTAAATCTTTCAATACTGCATGGGCATTTGATTCCTTCGCAGACTGACTGTAACATGAGCAGCTGCCATGGCATATGCCAGATAAAAGGAATGGTCTGGTAACAGCATTAAATGGATTGTTTTATTCGCTGAATCAGAGCTGGCAGTAAATATTCTTCTTTGTTGCTGTTCAGCTTTTGCTGGATCTCGGGGGCTGCTATGATTGATTGGATGCACCCAGACAATGCTCTGTCAATCACATCCTGTCCACAGTGGCTCATTTCATTTTTCCTTTTCCATCAACACAACGTTAAAGTGTTTGTTCAAAACGATTAACAATAGCTGCTATTTATAAAAAGAGTATATACGACAATAAAGCTGTTAATTCTCACGCCACGTCACGTCGTGTCACGTGACTTGGATTTTGAATTGAGCCGTCCCTTTATAGATACTATCTCTTCACGTATTAGTGATGGGAATTCCGGCTCTTTTTTTAGTGAGCCGGATCATTTGGCTCGGCTCACTAAGAAGAACCGGCTCCTTAACGGCTCTTCATTTGACCAGTTCACCACGGAGCCTCAGTTTCGCCGCTGCGAGGCTCCGGCACTCGCAGTTCACGCGCGTGCTCCACTAGCACCCCCCGTCAAGGCTCGCCGGCAGTACACTTTCCGTCACAGGAACACGCTTTGCTGGCGGCGAAAAGAATCCCACCAGACTCCTTCGCCCGACCAACAGAGGGATGTCCTTGTCCTTTTTCCTTTTCGTTATTTCAATCGATAAAAACTCGATCTTCTCTCGAATTATTCATTTTTCTGGACGCCCTCGGCTCGAGTTCAGGGCGTTCCGAGCTGAATAAGGGCGTCAAATGACGGCAAGGCGCCCCCCTGGCGGAAACACTGCCCTATATGTTTTATCAGACCACATTTTCCAAAGAAACATCTAAAAATCTGTCTTCTTCTTTGACCTAACCTCTCCTCTCCTTTCCTTTCATTCTCACCCTCCTGCAGGACGAATGATGAGCTGGTGTCGTTCCTCTCGCAGCAAAGAGACAAGAACTTCCTCAAGTCCCACGGGAGAGAAAACGCCCGGTGAGTTTGCCAGATGTTAAGACACAGACCAGCGCAAACACACACTAGGTTGACGATTTGTAACTTAATTTAATAAACTGCAATAAAGGGAAAGGGATAGCTTGGATTTAATGTCAGAAATGTGAAGTAACTCGGAGGTAAATGATGCTTGGGGGGGGGAGCAATTAAACGTAATGCTGTTGATATCGAACAAGAGGCAAAAAGCAGCATGACGAAGTGGTTCTTCAGCCGTTCTTTATTACACCGTGGACAGAAATGGTTATTTTAGTGGTTTACTTTGATGAATGCTGCAAAGAGCTCTCAAACGCATCAATTCAAGCTGTGCTTCTGTCTTTAAGGTTTATTAAGAAGCAGGGTCTGGACCGCCTCTTCCACGAGTGTGACAACCACATGTGGCGTCTGGGCGAGCGTAGCATCCCAGAAGGCCTGGAGGTCTCCGGCGGATCTGATTGGTTCGCGCTCACCCGCCGCTTCGTGGAGTACGTCATCAACTCCCAGGATGCCTTGGTGTCTGGGCTGAAGCAGTTCTATACCTACGCTCTGCTTCCCGCTGAGGTAAGTCGACCTCAGGTGGGGTGTTTATCTCCGGAGACGAGACAGCCTGATACACAAGTCTGTCTCACACTCCCCCGTCAATTCCGCCGCGGGTAATACTTTAAGCTCTCTCAGAGAAGGGTTCACAGGGAGCAGCGGTTTGTTGTTTGGGGTTAGAGAGGCGTGACCTTTTTCACTTTAGACTCAGTGGATATAAACGGTTTGTTCTCTCCCCAGTCCTTCTTCCACACGGTGCTGGGGAACAGCCACATGTGCGACACCCTGGTGGACAACAACCTGCGCGTCACCAACTGGAACCGCAAGCTGGGCTGCAAATGTCAGTACAAACACATCGTGGACTGGTGCGGCTGCTCGCCCAACGACTTCAAGCCTCAAGACCTCATCAGGATCCAGGTGAGAGGGACGGCTGCAGAACCACAGCTCATCTATTTCTGTCTATTTTGACGTAGCTTGTCGTTTCCCAGTCTCTCATGTATTTATCAGCCCCACTTTGATGTTCACCATTGGCCTGTACTAAATAATAATATTGGTTATATTTTGGACGTTTGAATTCTTCATCTGAATGCAGCATCTTTTTTTATCTTTTTAAACCCGATATTTCTGGACAAAGATTTGGATATACTAATATAATTACTGTTCTACTATTTGTAGAGTTAATTTTCCAGTGGTTGCTCCCTATTAGTGGGCACAGGCAGGCCTGTGACAAAGCAGCTTACCCATTAAGTTATTAATAACTAATAGAAACTGTAACGTTGTTGATAATCTTCCACCATTGCTTTCCCTTAATCAAACACACCCACATAGCTAACGCCATACTGGTAGTCTTTTATAATAGGACTGTCAAATGATTACAATTTTTAATCAGATTAATCACAGCTTAAAAATGAATTAGTCATGATTAATCACCATTCGAACTATGTCCAAAATATGCCATTTCTTTATGTATATTGTTGTGGGAATGGAAAGATAAATGAAAGAAGGCGGATATATCAATTTAAGTATGTATGTATGTTTATTATAACATTGTTCTGTGTGTCAAAATGAAAGACAGCCCACACACCTATTAATCATCAAACCGTGGGGCCTTATTTCATTACGTGTTGATTTCTATCAACACGTAATGTTGTTTCGATGTATATAGAGATGCACTACCGCAAAAGTATTCTCCGCGTCGGGACTTCCTGCAACAACACCACACCGTTATCTTGATTCTGATTGGCCAGAAGACATTATCAAAGATGTTCTATTGAGAAGACGATCACTACGTGCCAAAAGTTCTTCAAAACCGTTTCTAGTCCTTCGGTATTTCCAGACAAGTGGCTACTGAAATCAATCTTAACTAACTGCGTCTTGCAATTTACTCCGGCGAGTTGGCGGACTTTTATTTTGCTGTAATTTAACATCATTTTTCATGGTGGGGCTAAGCCATTTCTGGTATGGCTGTAGCCTACCCAGCCCATACCTGGCGCTGCCACTGTGGATGAATGGGGGCGGGCCCATTCTGGGCGCATGGCCGTTAAATGCGTTAAATATTTTACGCAATGAATTCGAAAAAAAATTAATTACCGCGTAACGCGATAATTTGACAGCATTACTGTTTAATAAAAACATTTATTTAGTATAGCCCCTTTCACAGAAATACCAATTCACAAAGTGCTTCGCAAGAAAGAACAAAAGTAAAAATGAAAGTTCCACAGAAACATGAATACAACAACATATTGTATTTAGGGTTGACGAAATTGAAGCACTAATACCTCATTAAATAACGTTAATCTAGTTTGAGCTCTTGAGGTGTTTCTTAAAGTAGATTTTTCGAAGCTCCATTCAAACACCTTAATAGAAGGCTTTGAATGTAATATTCGACCCAATATCTTGTCTCCTTCTCACACACACTACAACACCAGCAGCTGCGTCGCTATAACATCTCGTAAATCACAAACAGCTGCGTCCGTTATGCCGTCAATTTCACACGACTAGGAGTTCAAATAAATGATATAATTAGCATAGCACTAACAACAAATGATTATAGATATTCAAATATATGCAATTCTATAATTTAACATGTGGCTCCTACTTGACATTTGGCAAGCCTCACAAGACTTCTTTCTGTATTCTTTGTTTCGTCCACAGCAACTGACCCCGTCCGACGTTCTTCCGCCCGCAAGTTTGAGTCCTCGGTGAACCAGGAGGCCATCGACATCCTGGACAGCCACCTGTACGGCCAGTACGCTCGGGCACCACGGCGCTGAAGGCGTACTGGGAGAGTCTGTTTGAGACGGAGGACGGCCTGGCCGCGCTCAGCGACGCAGCGCTCCACCGCGCACCGGCTTTCTTCTTCGTCTTCGGTCTGAGGAACCTGTGACCCCTACAGAGCACGGTGGGACGCCTGCAGGTCCGTCTTGCTCCATCTGGAGAATCATAAACATATAAAGTTTTATGTCTTGACTTAAAGTTCCCTATTATATCTGTTTTTCATCAGTACATTAAGGTCTCAGATATTATAAAAGAACAGTCTCTGAATGCTCCAAACACCAAACAGATCATTGTGCATTACCCATAATCCCCTCTGTTTCAGCCCTGGTTTCAAAAGTGCTGATTCCTCTTGTCTGTTACTTTAGATGAAAATAAGGAGCCCCTCCCGCACGCCCCTCTGAGTAGATATTTGGTTACGAAAGAACACAATGGTGCCATAGGAGGGATTCAGATGATAAGGTGGGGGAGGGGGGGGGTTACCTTTGGTTGGTGATATGGGCATAATGGTTACACAAGCCAAAAAAATCGTTATGACATCACAAAGTGGCCAAAATCTGATCAGCTCATTTTCAGACAGGTTTTATATAAATGGAGTCAAAAAGTGAGCTAATCTTTTTTGCCTGAAGACTTTCAGAGTCTCTTTACACCGGAGGGGGCACCAAAGTTTGATGTAGCAAACAGAAATGAACAAAGGTATTTTGCATAATAGGTCGCCCCTTTAATGCAATAATCTCTTCAGCCGTGTGATTTGCTCTTCTCCTCTCTCCTGGGCGCCGCGCACCAGTCGGGCCTACCACTCTGTCAGTACACGTGGTACTTTCTCCAGACGACGCGTTTCCAAGGATCCTGATTCGTCCAGGAGGTTCCGCAGGTGCCGCGGACAAAGGTCAGAGAGACGCTGGAGATGTGGGCGGTGCCTCAAGCAACGCTCGTCGCTGGCAGATAAAAACTGAAGGAGTTTGAAAGGGCTCAAGAATCCTGGAGGTCAGTGGCATCTCTTGTGCTGAAGAAAAGATCTTCCATTTCAGTAAAGTTTCTGTCTTTTAATTATCAGGGAGAAGAAGAAAGCAAAAAGAAAAACCTGGCTTTACAGGAGATT